TGGTTACATGTGCACCAATCTAAGGCCAACACATAGATGAATCTTCACCCACCAAATGTCAAGAAGTCATGGTGCCAAGTCTCTTCACCTAAATGCCAACAAATGGCTTCATGAGAGTGTAACACTTGTCACACTTTTCAAAAATTACAAAATGGTCCTTTTTCAAAATATCCTCCAAAATAAATTGCAAAAAGGTCCCCAAAACGAAAAACAATTATTTTACATAATTACACTAAAACCCCAAAAGTTATAAATAATTACACTAAAGTATGCATTCATGCCATTTACAAGAAAAGTACTAATCTAGCATGCTTTTCAAGAAAAGTAAAAATACCAATGTTATGGAAATCAAATATCATGAATGCATGCAAAATCGAAATCAAATCCGAGCACAACAAGTGAGGTTATGCACGGAAAAATGAAAAACGACTAAAAGACGAAATAAGAAAAAGACAAAATAGGAAAAAGACGAAAAAATAAAATCACCGAAAATAGAAAAGGAAGAAAAAGACCAGGTCATTACATGACGCAAGTCTTTAAAACTTAACAGATTTCTCCGAGATCTTGTAAAATATAAGGCATCATTGATTTGTAATCTTGTTCTATGTGGTAAAATGATGTTGGCTCGTCCGGAGCCTTCAATCAAGTTGGTGGGACCTGATATGGTACTGACACTGGCGTCTGTCAGAGTTAAGTGAGAAAAATATTTTTGATCTCGAAGGATTACATGTGTTGTTCCACTATCTATAAGACATATATCTTCTCCATTTATTTTAGAACTAGTAAGATCCATTCCTATGCATATAAATTTCTTTATCATAAAAAAATTTTTATAACAAAAGAAACTTTAATACAAACTAGAACATAAAACTTTAATACAAGGAAAATATAAGGAAAATAAAAATATAGTAGACAGAACATGAAAAGAAAATAAGATTAATTGGTGTGGACATTTCCATCACCAATCAGGAAGTCTATCTTTTCATCACGGTCCTCAAAGAAATTTGATACATCCAAATTTGTGATGTTAATTGGCTTATTATGATCAATGAAATTCATTTCTAGATTTGTGATGTCAACTGGCTCATCATGATCAAAGAAATTCATTTCCTTTTGTTTTTCCTTTTCTTTCATTGAGGCTTGGTAAAGTTCAGCCAGATACTTAGGTGTATAACAAATACTTTGCCAATGCCCTGTCATGCCACACCGATAACAAGTATTATCGTGTGCCTTGGAAGGTTGAGCCACATCATTCCCTTTTCCCTGTTTCATTTTATTATGATCTCTCCTTTGAGGATATGGTGTGGATCTCTGATTGCGAAAATGTGAGGATTGATATCCTTCACGGTAATAAGAATGATTTCTACCACGACCATATTCATTATTGTGGTAGTTATTTTTACCACGACCATATTCATTTCTACCACCACGACCATGTCCGCGTCTGCGTCCGCGTCCACGACCACTGGATAATGCAACATATGTTTCAGGGATCGGTGTTGATCCAGTTGGATGGGACTGGTGGTTTCTTAATAAAAGTTTATTATTTTGCTCTGTCACAAGCAAACATGATATTAGTTCTGAATATTTTTTTAAATCTACGCTCTCGATATTGTTAATGCAAGAGTACATTCGAGGCGTGAAATGTGGTGAATGTTTTTTCTAGCAAAAGTTCATCAGTAACAGTATCACCACATAATTTCAATGTAGACTTGATTTTGAATAGAGCAGAGTTATTTTTAGCCACAGTTTTAAAATCTTGCAACCTCAGTTGCAGCAATCAGCCCTGGCTTTTGAGAGGATGACTGTTTTTTTATGATCATATCTTTCTTTCAAATTATTCCATAAACAAAGTGAATCTCTTTCAGTGAGGTATTCAGTTTTCAGTTCCTTACTAATATGGCGTCGGAGGAAAATCATGGCCTTTGCTTTATCTTGCAATGATGCATCATTTTTTTCTTTGATTGTGTCTCCAAGGCCCATGGCATTCAAATTGATCTGAGCATCCAGAATTCAAGATAAATAATTTTTGCCAGAAATATCCAGGGCCACGAATTCCAGCTTTGTCAAATTTGACATTTTCAGAATAACTAAATGTGACAACAATATAAAAATATAATTTAGCATAGTAAATAAATAAATGGCATGAAATGAAATAATAACATAATATGAATTATTTAAATAACAAAGGTGGTAAAACCAGCCATGGGGAATAAATTATTAAATAATAAAGGTAGTAAAACTGGCCTTAAATTATTAAATAATAAAGGTGGTAGAACTGACCATAGTGTAAGCACATATATCATTTAAGTGAAACAATTTATTTTATGAACAATAATCCATAATTAAACTTTTCTTACCCTTTGGAGTCAGAAATACAATGTTCTTCGATAAAGCAAACTAACCCAACAATATATCAAAACTAATATCACAAAATAGATATATAGTTGGGATAGAAAGAGGGAGAGAAAACTTATTCTTCAAATCTCAGATGGATAGAGCTCGTGCTGATAACGTGCAATAAAATATGTGTGTGAGTATATATATATATAGAGAGAGAGAGTAATATTATAAAAGAGATAAAAATAGAGCTTTAGAGAGATAGAGAGAGAGAACGAAGAGATGGAATAAAGAGAGAGAGAAAACTATTTTTCCTTACACCATCAATTGTATACAAGAAGCCTATTTATAGGCATACACTGAGGCTTCCCAAACAAGCCATGATAATGGCTTTCGCAGTAAGCTAATCTTCCAATATTCCTTCTCACGCCAATTTTGTGTCATCATTGACTTCATTTATTGTGGACACCACATAGATATATATATAACAAATTTATAAAATTCAACTCACTTAATTCTTCATTATATGATTAAAAAAAAATTTAAAAATAAAAAATATATATATACACCACACACACATAAACCCACTAAGTTATTGAATAAAGGCTCAGTAATACAACAAATGCTTAGTTGCTGTTGATAAAGTTGATATAGATTCAATGTAAACAACATACATAAATTTATAGAAGTGTCAATTTAAAGAGTTACTAATTATGTATTATACTGTTGTAATTTTTTTTTGGAAATACAATACTTTTAACTTTTTGGGCTTGTTTGGTAACTATTTTTGTTTCGTGTTTTAGTTTAACATTTTGGCTTTTATGGAACATGTTCAATACTATTTGAAAGGATATTTATTTTTACTTTGAAGACAAAACGGGAAAACATATTTGGTAAAAAAGTTTGAAAAATAAAATGACTAGTTGTATAATCGGAAACATCAATGTGATGCTTTCAATTTTGGCCTTTTTTATTTTTATTTTAACCTCTTTTTTCAAAAACAATTCTATATATTCAAATCGCAGCAAACGACCAACACGCTTCCATGTTTTGTTTCGCAACTGTTGGAAAAAGAGAAAAAAAATACGAAACAAAAGCAATTACGAAGCAGGGCCTTTGTAATTGCTTTTTGCTATAAAAAAGTCTCAAAATGTTGTCGTTTCAAAATCAGCACTGCATGGATCTTTTATATTTATTTCCAAACTAATTACAAAAAAAAAAACACACTAAAAAATTCCAACAAAAAAAATAAAAAATAAAAGTAATTTGCACTGTTTGGATACAACTTTGATATTGTTTGGGCAACGACACTCCTAGATTTGATATAGATGACAAAGACATCCCAAACCAATGTAAATTGGCATTACTACATGTGAATTAACCAATTTAAATTATGAAACTACCATATTGACCTTTCTAAACATATGAAATAACAAATTTTGCCACAAATTCCCCTTACCTTTCCCGTTTCTCCCTTCCCCCACCAAACAGTATAACACTGCCACCACCTCTTGACCATCATCGCCACCACCTCTTCCTCCTTCATTTCTTCTCCATTTCTTCTCTTTTCGTACACACACACACACAAATATAAATATGTATATACACATATAGACAGGCACGCACAGACCACACCACTTTCCACAACCACATCACCTAATAAACCCGCAGTGATGAGCAAGGAGAAACGAAACTGCCAATAATGGACCAGCGAGCTCGAAACGTACCGGCAATGTTCAATGACGACACCGACGGGATTTACCGGCAAGGAATGGACCGCAGGCAGCAAAAGAGGATGTTCGGCGAGACTTTACCCGGCGAGAAAACGAGCAAGGTTGACGTCTGAACACTGAGCCAGCCAAGACGGAACGCCGGCGAGCACTGAAATGTCCGGAGGGACTCGGACGGAACGATGAGGAGGGTAGGATGAGGTAGATGAAGCTTTTGTGATTGACGGGAAAGGGATTTAATCGAACGACGGAGGCGATGACCTCTTGAATAGAGAGTCGGGTGAGGTGGGTCCCGTGAGCATACTTGTGGTTAGAATACTTGCCAACGACGAGGACAGAGCGGGAGATGTTAGCACCGGTCTGGTCTGTGTATAACGAGACAGTGGACCACTGGTCAGAGGGGAAGGGGGCGGCACGATGGAAATGGAGAGGAGGAAGTCTTCGATGAGGAGTTGCTGAGGTGGAGACCATTTGCCGTACCAGATGAGGTAAATGTTGATCGGAGAGGAAAGAACTGGGCACATGAGGTATCAAAGGTTGACAAGTTTTGATTAGCCCTCGAATTTCTTGGTGGGATTTGGTGAGTTTGGGACTGAAGTAAAAATGGGGTTGAAGGTCTAAATCTTGATGATTCAAAGAGTCCATCAAAAATCAAGGAAAAATTACGTACGTTTCATAATTAGGTGTCTTAGTCCAATTTACCAAACATCAGATTGAACCACATTCTCCCGAGTTGTAACTACCCATTTTTAACCCAAACCTGAGGTGGGGGGCAAAAAAATCTTTTTCCGTAGTCCCAACAATCCATTTCCCGACCGAATCTTCCAGAGATTCCTCTTATTTTAGTTTTAGAATAATTTTTATTCTATTTTGACTAAGCCCCGGGGGAATTAATACTGTTCACCATATGCTAAGCAAGAACAACGAGAATCAACCTCATAAAAATAAACCAATTTGTATTTAAAACGACAAAATTACCTAAAGATGGAGTTAAGTGTTCATATCAATACGAGTTCATGGGAACATACTAATCAAGAAACTCGAAAACACATAGAGATAGAGAGAGAGAGGGTGCCATGGTCGATCACACCAGAACCTCTACAGAAGAAAAACTTGGTTTAATCCTTGACCTTGAAGCTTTGCATCTCTTGCTCATGATATAGGGCTTGACTAGCGGAAGTACAAATATCTTACTTCCTGCCTTTTTTGGAGACAGCTTTCCCTGGTTTTCGTGCTCCACGCTTTCTGCTGGAACTAGTTCCAGAGTTGATTGGTGCGCTTTGGGCACAATGAACAGGCAGACGATGCCCAGGAACCAAAGCAGGGAACCCAACAGCAGGGATTCTGCATAATACCCAAAGTCAATACAACCAATTAACAGAACAATATGATATATGAAAATCCCAAATTAAATACTCCGTAGCACCAAGATTTAAAAAAAAAAAAAAAAAACCCAGAGTTTTATTGTGGCCTAATGAAGTGTACCAAGCCTTTCTTATTTGCAGGTCTAATCTATCCATGCAGCTAAAGACGAGACTAATGCCTACAATAATAATCAAGATACTTTGAAGTCAATGAGCAAGAAACTCCACCAATGCCTCACCATGATCTACGGGGCATTATGAACCCCCACTAATAATAATAATAAGAATAAGAATAAGAATAATAAAAGCTTTAACCTAAATGCACTAAATGGGTGGATCAAACAATTAAAAATCCAATTTCCCAACTTAAGAGCCCAATATGGCTTTCTCATACCTCCTAAAATAGAGAAGTAAATTTAGCTGTAAACCATATGTTTATTTTTATTTCAAGTGTCCACGCGATGGATAGCTGCGGAATTTTGTATGTGGGCTGTGTTGTGGGTTCCTTTATGGGGAAGGGAGTACTCGGGTGGGGTAGCTTCTGGTCAGCAGATAAGCTACTTCCAAACAGTCGCAAGCTTGGGACAGTCAACAACAGGTTATGGTTCACCAGTCCATAAAATTCCAAGATAAGCTCCAATCCAAAGATCAAACTAGTTTGAACAATCACAAAGACATCTCAACTGGGCTAAAGAATAATTGAGGTACCATTAGTAGTACCAAAACATGGACAAATAAAACTATTCCCAAGTAATGGCCAAAGTTAGCAGAAGTTGCATCGGCTCCAGCAGGTTCTTCATTTAAAAATGGATAATAAGTCAAAATAGGAAAAACTCAGGTTTATAGGACGCTGAATTCCAACTAATTAAGCCAAATCTTAATACTTAAGGCAAACACAACAATAAAAAAGGCAGTACCCTCATAAGTGGAGTATTGATAGGGCAAGACTATTGGCTCTATTTTTTGCACAAGTTGACTACGCTTAGACTTGAACTTGCACAAAGAGAGAGAGAATATATAGATATCAAAAAAAGAGAGAGAAATAATATATAGATATCATAAAAAAACTGTCTAATTTGCCAATTGCAGAATTTTCCTAAGGTTGAAATTGAAGTGTCAAGGAAGAAGATCTGATACCAAAAACTGAACCCAAAGGTTTCAAGTGTTGAATGAGACTTGAAATATGTCCAAGGCAAACAGAAAGTGCATTAACAATTACTGATTTGGTTAACTGTATCAACGAATTAGTTCAGCAGATGGAAAAAGTTCAAATGTAACTACAAAATAGCAAATGGAGTTGTGGGAGACGAGAAACTCCTAACCATTTGCTTGACGGAGAACAAATCTAATACTGAATTAAAATATAACCTCATGGGTAATGATAACAAATGAGGAATAAGGGGCAGATTCCTTTGTACATGACCAGTCTCCTATCTCCTAAACTTAGGGTTTGTTTAGTGTCGATTGTAACACTAAGTGGGAACTAAGAATGCCTGCAAAAAAGCCTCACCAAACTCAAAACCTAGCTAGATATAAGTCATAGCTACACGGTAATAATCTGACTGAACTCCTGCTTCAGCCAATCTAGAAGAGATTGAACAGACCAAGAAACTAAAATCACCCAAATTAACCCCAATAACAACATAAAAGGAATAATGAAGAGAGCTGGTTTTCGTTTCCTACCCAATAAGAGCACAGCAGACTCCTGCTTTGGCATGGTAGCATCAACGGCCTTTATATTCTGCAAGGAAATGCGTAATGCTTGATTTTCAGCAAAACAGCACTGAAGCAACATCCCCAACCTCTTGCATTCTGCTTCGAAGTACCTACTCTTCATCTCCAAGTCCCTCACATAAATTTTCTTCCTCTCTCTTGATCTCACAGCAGCATCCCTGTTTCTCAATTGCCTAGAGAACAAGAAGAAGGGGAATATCAAACATTCATTTACAAAATCATAATATTGTTTATTGACATATAAAAAGCAAATTTCCAATCTCCTTGTGAAATAATCTTCTTAACAGGATTTGCCAACAGTATAACCAATAATCCAAAGGAACCAAGAGTTAGTTAAAGATAAAAACTTCCAAAGATATTCATTCACTTAGAACAACAGAATTTTGTTCCCTACCACACATAAAAAGCAGTATAATTTCCTTATAGTGGATACAGGACGAAACAAAACTCCCCATCTAATTTTAAATTTTCTTTTTCACATTAAGAATTCAAAGGGACCAAGAATGTCCTACCAAAAATAAACATTCAAAAATGTTCTACCAAAAATAAACATTCAAAAATGTTCAAGCTGAAATAAGAGGCACACAGAACACAAACTTTGTCAATAATTATAACGCTACAAACCTAAAAGCTGAACAGAAGAAAGGCACTGAAGAGAAGAACAAAGCAACAAATAAAACAGACAAAGAATGTCCTCAAGCTGAAATAAGACATACAGATAATTATTATAAAGTTAAAAACCCTAAAAACTGAATTGAAGAATAAGCAATAATTTCAGTACCTTTTCCGCTTCTTGCTGTTCAGGTCATCACCATCTCCATTGTTTTCCTCCTCCCGCGTTTCTCCAAGTTTCTCCTTCTCATCCTCCTCCGAAGTATCCGAATTCTTCCCATCACAAACATCACCGGCTGGATCGGACTCAAATTCAACAGGCGATTCAAAAACTATATTCGAATTCTTCCAAACAGAAACATCACTTGATCGATCGGACTCAACAGGCGAATTCTTCTCATTAAAAACATGACCCAATCGATCGGACTCAACAGGCGAATTCTTTTCAACAGAAACATCACCGGATGGATCCGTCTCAACAGGTGAATTCTTCCCATAAGAAACATCACCTGATCGATCGGACTCAACCGGCGATTCAAGAAGAAAATCCGACATATAATCAATCGAAGATTCGAGATTCGGCTGTTCTGCAACGACCCTATCGTCGTCGTCTTTCATCAACAAGTGCTCGACATCGCTGAACCACGAGGAAACCGGATCTGAAGACCGAATCGCGACCTCCCCGGCCGACCCATCAGCCGATAGATCGGAGAGGAAAAAAGGGTCGAACATTGGATCATCAAGAAAATTTCCAAAATCAATATGAGTGCTCAATGTTTCGCTTTGTGGGACTCCATAATCATCCATTTAGATGAGATTTAAAATTAGGGCTCTATTCTAATAAAAAGAAAACGTAGTAGTACTAGTATTTACAGAGTTACAGAAGACAGCCGATTTAGAAGATGAAAAGAACTGAGATAACGCGGTTTCTTCGAGGGTAAGGAAAAGCGAATCCTCCGAGAAATTTCCTCTCAAATATAATGACCATGTCCGAGTAACACGTCATTCAGCCAATAGGATTTTTTTTATTTTTTTACCTTTTTTTTTTATAGAATAAAAAAGAGTGACCTCTCTTGTCAGGTATGAGGTGACATAAGCCCCGACTATTCAAGTAGGTAAGTACTCCCACAGTCCTAAAATTAGGAGTGGGTAAAAAAATTCGCAAATCTGTGAATTCACAGACTCTCGGTGACGAATTTAAACATTTTGAATCCATAGTTGTTGGATCCAATAATTGATTAGTCTGTCAAAAATTCAATTCGATACGTGAATTGGACTATTCGTAAAATATATATATATAATATATATACATAATATTAATGTTATAGAAATATATATATATATATATGGAACTCCAAACTAGGGAGAGAAAGTGAGATATATATAATATTAATATTATAAAAATATCAATATCAGTGGCCACCGCACTGACTTATCAAGTAAAACCTAAATCATAACTAAAGAAGAGCAAAGAGAAGCCGTCGCCTCACCCCTCTCCTTCGGTTCTTCGATCTGCTGCCCGTCTCCTTCACCAAATCAAAACCTAGCATTTTCCTCACCTCTCTTCTTGACTTCTTCTGATCTTCATCGTAAAGATGTTATGCTACAGGTACACATATATTATCCATATGTGTTTATGAATTGGGTAAATGTGAATTTTTGTTATGGAAAAACTGTTCTTTTGGGATTTGAAATATCGGAATTTTGGGCTCGAATTTAAGAAAAATAGTATGCTTGAAAACTCTCATGACAATGTTTCTTCAATACCTGGTCAACTTGAAGCAATCACGAAAAAACTGCTAGTATATTATTTTGATATATGATGCATAAATTGGTAGATTATGATCAATTAGTGTTTATGAGTAGTGAAGTGCATGTCTATTTATTTTATCTTTTTTTAGCAAGGCAAGGATCCATTAATTCTGAAAATTTTAAGTTTATGGTTTCCTTCAGGTAATGGTATTTTGGTTATACGACCAGTAACTATTCTAATTTGTTATTAGGATGATTTAGGAGTATGGGAAAACATTTCCGTAATGCTGTTTTGGATCCCAAAATTGTGAAAGCAAACTACAAATTAATTGTTATAACACTTGTTTGGAAGATGATACAGCGCTGTTTATTCTTAGGGTAAATTTTATCCATTTTTTTCTGAGGTTTGTATAAATTATATACAAACCAGGAATTATATTGATGGCCCTAAAGTCCGCGGATTGGATCCGATTCGATCCGTCATTTTACAAATCCGATCCGATCCGATCCGTGAGCTAACGGATTGGTGGCGGATTCAAAATCTTTCAATCCGTTGCGAGCGGATCGGATTAGAATTGATGCCTAATCCGATCCGATCCGTGGCTACCCCTACCTAAAATACTCTGTTAGTGTTATGGTTTCTTTGAGAGCATCTTCAATGTACTCTCTAAAAATTAGACTTTTCAAATTTGTCACATTAGCAATTTTTAATAGGCACATAAGCATTTTTCATCACTTCAGGATTTTAGAGTTTTCAAATTTTAGATATCGCATATATTTCAATGGTGCATTTTTGCTCTTTAAAAATTTTAATATTTTAATATTTTTAAATTTTAAAATAAAATTTGAAAACGAAAAAAAATCCCTAAACTTTTTTTTGCCCAAAAAAGCCTTTAAGGCACTGTTTGGCTGACACAAACAGTGCCTTTATAGCTCTTTGGTTCAATTATTTTGAGGAAAAAAAAAAAAAATAAAAAAATCAAAGTAAGTCAAAAATATGAATTTTAGCTTTTATTTCAGCCAAACATGCCCTTAGAAACAGTGTTTTGGCCTGAATTTAAAAAATAAAATAAAACAAAAATGGGCCCACAAAAAGTGAGCCCAATCGCCTTCCCAATCTGGCTTCCTGGTGACCTTCATCAAGAGCCTAAATTTGGGGCCCAATTTTCCCATATTCCATTGGAACATGTAATCTCAAAAAGCTACTCCATTTTCGCAAAAATAGAGCACTGATGTAATGTTTCCAAATTTTACCATTTTTTATTTTATGAATTTTTCTGTTTTTGCGAAAGCATTTTCGTCCTTTATCGTTTTACGTAACAAACACCATGTGGTGTGCCGGGTGTGTTCGAGAGTTGGTTGGGGCATTCAATTGAGTTGAGGACTCTTCGAAATACACCGGTTGCCATTTTGGTATTTTTCAATTTTTCGGACCGGAAAGTCTCATGTGGGACCCGCTACCTGAACTGTTGCGTGCAGGAGTTTTGTTTGGGTCCAGTTACACCTCATTTATTTTGTTTTATGTGTTTTATGAGGTTATGAATTATTAAGTATATATATATATATATATATATATATATATATATATATTGGTGGTAAAAATTAAAAAGAAAAAAAAAGATTTTTTTTTTTAAAGTGGGACCCACCAATTTTTGGTTTTGTGGCCAAAAGGCCAACTTTGGCCTCTTATTTTCTCTCCCTCACTCTCTCTCTCGGCACCAGATCCTCTTCCCCTCTATTTATTTTATTTTATTTTTTTTTCTCAAACTTCCAAGCTTGATTAATCTTCAACCACTTGGAGCTTTTGGGTGCCGTTTGCGACAAAACGAAGAGCACGGCGAGATTTACGTGTGAGTACAAACAATTTCAGCTTTTGGCCTCCCCTAGGATTTCGAATTTGAAACCCATTTTGAGGGTTTATCTACAAATTTGAGGTAGGGGTTTTTAATTCATGGTCTTCTTATACTTTTATGAATTTATTTCTTATAAATTGTTTAATTGCATGCTTAATTAGTAAAAGTTCTTGGAAATTGCTTAAATGCCGTATATGAAATTGTGACAAGGTGTTAATTGATTATATTATATTTAAGCATGTTTATGTGAAATAAAGTTGTGATTTGTATGCTTAAATTGTTAGAAAAAAATGCGGAATGAAAACATGAGTTGTGTATTTTAGTAATTTATTTGTAAAAGCATGTGGGAACTTTATGGTTGAATTTATGAAATGAAGCATGAAGCATTCATGCATCCATTGGGAAAGAAAAAAAAAAAAGTTTTAAAATAAATGAAATTATTTTTGGGAAAATATATTCAAAGGTGTTTGCGAAAACCGGACGCCTAGGAGGCGTCTAGTGGTCCATGTTGTTAGTGTTGTCTAGAAGGGAGTATGGTTGAGCTTACTAGGCCGGATGCGACGCCTTGGAGGTGCCTTGTGGTCGTGAATAGTTAGTCAACCCTCCATTTGTGACGCCTTGGAGGTGCCTTGGGTCGGATTACACTAACAGTTTGGAAGTTGAAACGGAAATGTTATGGAAATGGGGAGCGACATTTGCATAACATTGCACTTCATGACATTGTGGAAAATTTGTGATTGGTTGACATTTGCTACATACTTATTGTTGTAGTTGAGAATATGTATTCCCCATGGTATAACCCCGTTCCTTTTTACCCATTCTTTGTGTAGAATGCACATGGATATAAGAAGTGGTCTTAAACGCTTCCTACTGAGCTTATGCTCACCCCATTATTTTAATCATTTTTCAAGATACGGAAAAGAGGTGGCGGATGACGATCCATCACAAATCTAGACGTGATTGGAGATCTATTTTATTTTGCTAACTTTTGTATTAGAATTCTAATATTTTGTAAATGTAAGTTTAACTGTTTTGTGAAACTTTAGTTTAATTGGTATAATGTTGTAAGTTATGGACTTTTAAATTTGAGCTACATTTATGGACTGTGACTTGATGTAACTAAGGTGTGTTCTTTGTTTGGATGAGATGGAGGAACGAGACTTTTTATATGAATGTAATCATTTTGGGAATATAATATAATAATTTTATTATGCGTTGGGACAGAATATGTTAGTGTTGGGACAGAATATGTTAGTTTTAAGGCCTAGTGAGGCCATTGCATTTTAATGTATTTCAACAAGTTGTAAAGGGATTTTTTCTGCTGAGGTCATGCCGAAATTTTATATATTTTATTATTATTATTTTGGTATCTTTTTGGGTCGTTACAAAGTTGGTATCAGAGTAATGGTTTGAATACCATTTGGACGACGGGTAGAGGCCTACTTGGGATTGCATGGGGAAGTTGAACTGCATGATTATGTGCTACGTGTTAAAGTGTTTAAATGTTTGAAAAGCATGCCTTCTTGTTTACTTGCTTACCTGTTTATTTGCTTATGTGATTACATGCTTACGTGTTTACAATTTTGAAAGCATACCTATTTGCTAATTGTTTACGTGATTAAATGTAAAAACTTATGTTACATGGCCATGCATGTGAAGTAGTTATATAATGGTGTGTCGTCGAATCAAGTTTGCAAAAAGATGAACTAAGGGTGTGAGTGTGCAATGTGGCCAAGTTTTTAATTTGTAAAAGCCACTACTATCTCTAACTAAAAATATAGCTAGGGTGAGTAGGGATCGTCCCAAGGGATTGTGGGTGCCTTTGCAATGGAAACAATGTATAGGGTTAGTAGATCGAGTGATCAAAGATTGGTTGGATTGATTGATTAAGTTATTACGCAAATGAAATTAAAGTAAACAAAATTCAATGATTAATAAAGTAGAGAAAAATATAAAGGGGAGGATTTGGGGTACTAGAGCTCACCACTAAACTTGACTTCACTAGACACTAACAATTGTATATTAATGGAGAAATTGACTTGTAACTTGTGTGTGTGTGTGACATTAATTGAAACTAGGCATGGATGGCAAATAAGCATAGATTGTCAAACCAAATCAAATGGAAAACACAACCTATCAAATGAGATCAAAGTCCATTCAATGAAACCACAATTTATGCACATACAACTATCTAGAAACATACACCTAATGCACTCATAAGTATGGAACACCAAGAAACAAGAATAGATTGTCCATCTATATATGAATTTAAAGCAACTATACTACATCTACACTAAAGACATGAAATTTAACTAAGTAAGCTAAAGTTGTAGTACAATCTATCAAAAAACAAGTGTGAACCATCAAATAAATTGCAAGAGTGTTCAATTAAGCTTTATGTTTTGACCATCTCTAGATTAATTTCATCTATATACATAGACATGCATAAATTCCACTAAATCTAGAGAAAAACACATGAATCATCCATTTTAGCATACATAGACATATGGTTAGAAGTAGATAATCAATTAGAAACATTAATTCATATACATCAAGTAGAAACCACAAGATATATATATATAAATCCAAGATCAAAACATTATTACAAATAAATCTCCAAAAATATACCAAGAACTAAGTCTAGGAAGCAAACTTACGGGCTACTCTAGCCCCAAGTAGATGTCTAGGCACTCATTGAAGTAATCATCCAACCCTCAAAGGCTATCTCCATGGTAGGAATGACCTCCTTCTTGATGGAAACCCTAGAAGAATGGAAGAACTCCTAAAATGTGTAAAACTATCTAATCTCTAGCTTCTTCTCCAAGATAAGAAAATATGATGAATGTTACAAGTTATGATCTAAAAATGGCTCAAAATCCTTATATAGGTAGGTCAAGTGTCACACCTAATGGTCTGGGCTCGTACACCAAGGTCCCTCCAATGATTGCACCATGAGCCAATTTTTAATGAGTTGGAATATATTTTTTTTTGGACTTGAGGAAGTTTGATCGATCAACTGTGGAAAGATCGATCGAACTTGGCTGAGATCCATCGAATACTGCAGAGATCGATCATCCTTGGCGGCGCCTTTTTGAATAAAGACAAATCTCTGAGATATTTTGGGATATTTTTGGGAAGAAGACAAAAGTGGTAGGTGTGGATAAGATCAAATCATTTCGATCGATCTGGAAAATGTTATATCGATCGAACTTGGTGGATTTTTTTGGATAAGGACAAAGGTTTGGATCCCTCTTGAACTGTTTAGATCGATGAATTTTCGATCGATCTAAGAAATACTGAGATCGATCGAACATGTTGAATTTCCATACTTTGCTTCATTTAGCTTCCACTTTGCTCCTTTCTTCCATTCAGCTTGAGTTAACTCATTTAATGCTCTTATTTGGCTGAATTGACTTATTTTTGGGATAAGCACCTAAAAAGGGCAATAACACGAATTTAGTCTAAAACAGGAAAATAAGATAGATAAAGGTTCTAGAATGCTCAAGCTTAAGGGGTTTAAACGCGCACTTTTCAGTGCTCATCACACCCCCAAACTTAAATATTGCTAGTCCCTGGCAATGAACTACAAAGTAAAGGAATGAAGTGAACAACTATACAACTATGAATTAGAAAGCAATAAATGGATAACGCCACTTTCGTAAGGAACACGATTGCATTTAGCATATGCAACAAGCCTTTTAAACCCCTAGGTTAACCCTAGTGGACGAGTGAAGTCTCGTGAGGGTTTCCAGAAATGATACCCACAAACATGAAGCTTATTCTCGTTAAAGAGGCACCAATATTGCAAACAAGTACTGGGAGAAAACTACCTCAAGTATGTAATTTTTCAACCATTTTCAAGCAATCTTTCAAAATTTTAACATCAAGCAAACAAGTATGGTCCTCCACACATCAAGAAAATGATCATGCAAATCAAAACAACACTAGAATTCTTTTTTAGTGGACCGGCATCAAATATATTGCTATCTAAGCCAACTAAAGAAATGATCACATCGTTACCCTCAAACTGGCACACAAATCTAGTAACGATCATCAAGACAAAGAGTGGACCTTTTATTAAAACTTTATTGTTCTAGGTGCGCTTTTTTTTTTTTTTTTTTTTTAATCCTAAGGATCAAAGATGGAAGCATAATGCAATGTAGTGATCTATTAAGCTTTCTAGCGATCCATGAGGTCGAGCGTTGGTCAATGACTCCCAAACCAGACGGCTTTAGGGCATTAGGTGTTCAAACACTCCTAAGGACTTACAAGCTTAAATCAACTAGGCTACAAATCAAAACAACCTCAATCTAATCATTTCCCACTTCTCACCTTTTGGGAGAAGTCCTCTTTTTTTTTATTACTTTTGCAACTTTCTATTTTTTATTTATTTTTATTTTTTATTTATTATTATTATTATTTTTTTCAAGTAGGTTTAATTATTAACCCAGAGTTTGGGCCCTCCACCTTTTAGCGCGAGAAGTTTAGTGCTTGATGAGGCTAGAATCCCGGCTACTCAATGAAAATGGTTTGTTATCCACTTTTATCAAGATGAAAGGTTTCAATGCACTACTAGCCCAATTGGGATATAACCAATTCAATAATCAACAAAGCATGTACCCCACAAATGAATGTTAGTGTGCACCTGTGCTAGTGTAGAATATTAGAGTGAATCTCAAAACAATCACCAAATCAAGATGATGTGGACCACAAATGCAAGTAAGATATTAATCATTCGAAAATTTTACTCCTAAATGGCATTCACAAGGCATACAAGGAGTATTGGATTCTCAAGTCAAACAATTTTTAAATTTTAAGCAATATAGTCCTCAAAAGATCAAAATCATAGCTAGTTATGGACCGATCATAGAAAATCCCTCAAATACACAAGTCATGCTCAAAATTTTGAGTTGAACGCAAATACTGTAACAATACCCATTACCCCCAAACTTAAATGGCACAGTATCCTCAATGTGTAAAGAGAACAAAAGGAAATAGTATACTAGTGTAACTAAGGTAAGAAAGGCCGGGACAGAAGTATCCAAAATGGGTGGTGTAACTCCCCCAAACTTGGGATTAACTGTGGTCCTGAAAAGATGGCACTGGGATAAAACTCATCAGATAACAAAAAGGGATAATAACAGTGCACAGTGGACATGCAAGTGTAAATGGGATAGTCAAATGAACTAATGAGAGAGGAAAATGGTGGTCCTGAAAAACTCGGGCAGCACTCTCTCTCACTGAAGTCACTGTGATGCACCTGATAATGGAGTCAGTCACAGACAGATATATCAATAGAAGAATATGACATCCAAAAGATCATGCATAAAATAGGAAAATAAAAATAGTATATGGTATATCACAGTAATAGGGCCGATAGACTGGCTGCAAAAATATCACAACAGTATCAAAAGAGCAGGAATGTATCACAGATATAATGGAATAATGAGAGAGGAATAAAGATCAGGCAGATGAGGTAGGCCAAGTGGGGCGTGATCCCCTGATATCTCTGGATATGTCCTGCAGCGCAGCTAAGACATCGGAGCGGAGAGATGCCACATCTGACCGAAGAGAGACAACTGCGTCCTTCAAGGCCTGGATACGCTCTCCAAAGCCGGGTGTCGGTGCTGGAGCCTCAGGTATGACTGGATCATGAAACTGTGGTACATCCTGAGCCTGCTCCTGGAAATGTAATGGTGACCCTGCTGGAGAGTGGTATGGTAATTCCTCTGGAGGCTTCTGCTCCATATCGATCTCCATATGTACGGCAGCCGCTGGTGCGGCTGCTGGATCATCTGCTGTTGCTGCCATCTCCTCCTCCTCAAGCTCCTTAGCTGTCTGAACAACATCCTCCACCAAACTCTTGATAAGAGCATTGTAGCTCTTATTCCACTTCTTCTTGCCATAATGGCAAGCTCCTGTCTCTGGATACTTATCTGGGTGGAAAGGATAGCGCTGATCTCGGAGGATCTGAGTGATAAGATGGCCAAATGGGAGGAAAGTGGTTCGCATGGGCTTGGCCTTACTAATGTAAGTCGAATACAATCTCATTATGACACTCCAGTAGAGTGCCGACATAGATACCCAGTGGCCTGTATAGAATGCATATAAAGCAACCAAAAAGTCTGAACGCCTCTGGATCTTATGGCCCGCCATAAATACATTTCGGAATAGTACCGAATCGTAAAACCAAAGGTCATCGGGCAAATAA